GATAGGTGTTCGATCGCCTTCTTTTCGTAATCCGTTCTGTTCATAATCACGGTGACATTTCCCTTGTCGGCTTTCGTTATAACGATGCTTTTGTCCTTCTTCAAATTTCTTAAGGCTTCATATTCTTGTTTGTTGAGATTAGATGGTATGTTTCGTTGTGTCATTAATATGTGTGATATCTTTTGACGAACAGGTTGTGATTCTTCATTGGTGAATTGTTGTAGAGCAGGTTCAATGATAGGTGCTATTTCCTGGACCGATAATGGCTTTCTGGTGATATTGAAATTCAGACCTTTCTGTAGTAATGAGATTTCACTTTCGGTTAGTATCTTGTCTGACATGTTATGTATGGCTCTAATATTCTTCATATCATTTGTTGAGGTTTTCTTTGGTTGTTTCTTTTCTTCGAGTTTTAAGAATTTTTGTATTTGTCTTCTTTTAGTGACATTATGAAAATGAGATTCTCGTTCATTAAACAGTTTTTGAAAGGATTCATAGATATGACTTGTAACAAGTAATGTTAAACAGTCGTCTATATTTTTGATTCTCGTTCGATAAGATTCAAGTTTGATGTTGCAGTTATGTATTCTTTCTCGTAAAAATACCTTGGAGGTATGATTTGCAGCAAGTATGGATTTGTGCGAATATTCAAGAGGTTTAACTCGTAGTGACTTAGGAATAATTCCACTTTGTAGACAGCGTACGTTGAAAATACGATGATTATAGAAGTTACATTTATGCTTTGATAGAGTAATCCGGTTTTTAATTAAGTTATATATGTCCAAACCAAGTTGACTTTTAACGGTTTGAAAAAATTTGGGCATTGGGTATATGATATTCATTATAATAAAGGTTTTTGTATTTCCCAATGAATGAAAAACAAAACGATATTGTTTTTACTGACGTTTCGCTATTTAATGCTAATAGCTTTATCAAAGTATTATTAAACCGGAATTTACAAAATCTCAGCATATATATAACAAACAGTTAGGGGGTGAGAAAATAGACATAGGTCAAGTTAAAGGGACATATTGAAAGTAAAAATAGCGATGAAGATAACTATACCAAATAACAAAGGTAATAGTATGTCTGTTATGATATCGAAAAAAGAAAGAAAAGTTTACTAACTTGATCATCGTTCGTCTGTCTGGGGCATTTTTAGTTGTTAAGTTGGTGAATTGGTAAAGATAACAAAATCATCATGTGTAGATTGTTGGATTTGATAAGTGTATGAGATTATAAAAGCAGCGTGTGTTTACATAATGAAAGTGCTTATCACATTCGTGTTGGTTTTGTCACTTGATGGGGGGGAGGGAGGTGTTGTAACCAGGTCAGATTCTGTTTTAGTCCATCATTCCTATTCAGGCAATTTTGATTCCACTTGATATGAAGTGCTTCTGATATTAAACGTTCTTTGTGATTTCTGAAGTTTTTCTGGATTATTTCAACATTGTCAAAATCAATTTTGTGGCCTGATTCTATAGCATGTAGACCTATGGCTGATGATTTTTCAAGTCTTTGTAGTTCAACAGGATTCTTCGGCGGTCGAAGAGATGCTCTACGGTGTTCATTTCTTCTGATTTTGATTTCTCGAGAAGTTTGTCCGATGTATATCGCATCACATTCTAAGCATTTTATCTTATAGACACAATTAGATAGCGAATCTTTAGGGATTTGGTCTTTTATATGGACAAGGTTGCTTTGAAGTGTGTCTGATGTTTTGAAGAAAACTCTAATATCGAGCTGATTGAGTACTCTTCTGATATCGTCTGACGTCTCTTCTCTATATGGAATGACGACTGTTGATGTCCATGTTTTCGGGATGCGTTTTCGGCCATACTTGATGTCTGTGTTGATTTTGTTGATGAAGTTCCATGGGTAGTTGTTTTGCTTGAGAGTTTCAGTAATGTTTGATATTTCTTCTTCTTTTTCTTTCTCGTCGGTTATCAGAGAGTGTGCTCATCTAAGAAGACTTGAAACAACTGAAATCTTTGCGCTGATGGGGTGTGATGACTTGAAGTCTAAATATTTATTTGAGTGGGTTTTCTTCCTGAATATGGATATACTAAAATGTCCGTTTTCCTTTCTCTTAACTAGGCAGTCTAGAAATGGTAGTTCACCGATGTCTGATTCTGCTTCCGAAGTGAATTGGATTCTGGGACATACACAGTTTATTTTCTCCAGGAATGAATTGTGTAGATCTCGTTTTAGTACTACAAAAGTATCATCCACATATCTTAACCATATTTTAGGAGTGAGTATGCTTGAAAAGATGTTATTTTCGAATTTATTCATGAAAAGGTCGGCGACTATTGGTGAGACTGGTGAACCCATAGCAACACCATTTGTCTGTCTATATAAACTCCCTTTAAATGTGAAATAATTATTTTCTAGACAGAATTTTAAGCTCTTAATTATTTGACTGGTGTCCAGTGGACATCTTTGGGATAGCGTTGTATCTGATTCTAGAAGACTGGAGATGATATCAAGACTTTCGGTAATGGGGATACTAGTATATAATGAGTTAATATCATAGCTTACCATAATGTCTTCTTTATCAATTTCTCGGTGTTCTATTTGGGATTTGAAATCATATGAATTCCTGACAATATTTTGAGTGTCCTTTTGTAGTGGTTGTAGTATCGAGAGTAAGTATTTAGATAGGTTGTATGTCGGTGAGTTGGTGAAATCTATTTCTGTAGACTTCTATCACCAGCTGTCATTCTTAAAGGGTTACATAACCACAAATAATTATCAAGAAGGAACTCTGGCAACGAACCAACCAAGAGCGTATTGCCCAACAAATATATTCAGAGGGGAGTGGGAATGCGGTGGACTTATGCTGATGAGACCTTCACAAGTGACGCTGTACACCAAGCCATTGAGTGGGACCCAAATTAGTAAAAGTGACTAAGCTATATTGCACTATCTGTAGCTTTACCTCAGGACACACTTAGTGATTTTACCTGCACTTCTCCTTAAGGTTAATTTTGTCATAAGTGGGTTGAATAGCTGATCCAGACAGAAATGAACCAATCAGAATCTACTTTGTGCTAACCTTGATTGGTGATTAGACTGACTGACTGACTATGAATCGATTTTATCTTTAAAAACGCCCCAATATCTTGGTTGAGCTTCTGAATTTTATTATATAAATCCTTTTGGATTTTCTCTGCGAATACACCTCACCACTCATCTCAGAGAAGAACTTTCAATTCAAGTTTGGTCACGGTAGGAACAGCGTCTAACGTGTTCTTTTTGGATACAGACAATCTGTAGACAAAACCTGCCTAATTATCACACAAAGTGGAAGATCTTCAGGCGAAAACCAACAAGTTGTCAGAAAGCGGCGGGCAGCGAGGAAGACAGGACTTCAAGTGATCATAGAGAAGATGATTAGTTGATGTAAATACCTAACCAACAAATAATAAAAGCATCAATTACTGTCGACGCAAGAAAGCTGAAGAAAGTCATTTTTTGTACTAATCACCTCGGGAACATCATCCTGACTACAGGTACATCATGGATAAAGATATCAAAGCCCCAGTCAGTATCATACGCGTTCTCTCTCTCTCTTTCCCTCTAATTAAGTTTCACTCATAGTTTGCTTCCTGTTGCTTAAAATAGGCATATAATGTTATCAACAAAAAAAGCGTTATACAACCTGTTTTGGAAACAAGGAAAAATCAATAGCAGTGTCTTATTTGTTTGCTTTTTTCTCCCCTGTTTTTACTGAATGGGATAAAAAAATGGGATAATAAGAGGGGAAAAAATCCATACATATATGCGTAGATATTTTCTCCTCTCTCTTCTGAAGGCTAGAAATTCTCCTCTTTACCTTTCATGATATCCCCACCTCTTT